GAGTCCAACTTTATTGATCTGTATCTGGATATCCAGTTTACCCAGTATCATTTGTTGAAGAAACTGTTCTTTTGCCATTGTATAGTCTTGGCACCTTTGTCAAGAATCATTTGGCCATATATGCCTAATTGTAGGGATTTTAATACATTATATTTTAAACAATTTTGACTCAAACAGAAATAAAGGGAAACTAATCACATTCTAGCCTGAGGATTTTATTTCCATATAGCCATGTCACCCCATTAGAAGAGAATATTTTTCAAACGTGAGTAGTGACAAATAGAAGGAATACTTACTTGCTGAAAGTTTGGAGGTTAATTGACTAGTTATAATGATTTCAAGGGTCTAAGAAGAAAGGAGGAGGACCTGGAATAAGTCCGTGACATAAAGTTTAAAGCACGAGACAGAGGCAGAATGCAGAGGAAGACGTGACTGAACTTGGCAACTGAAAAGATAAGGAGAGTTAGCACATAGGATTTCTAGTTGGATTTTTAGCTGGATGAATTCAAGGTTTTGTTTCCACAGTTTTAAATCCTTTTATGTTTAAGATACAAAGTCCTTAAAGAGCTATTTTTTTGATCCGTATTCCCAAGTCCCTAGAAGGACATCTCACTATCATTCAGAGTCTCATGTCTGCAAGGCTGGCTCTTTAATACTCAGTATGGTCTCTATTGTGAAATACTTAGCAATGTGACTCAAAGAACAAACCACAGTCATCTGTATCCAGGCAACAGCATTGATAAACACTGCAAATTTCTTTTCTACCTTATAGCTTGAGCTACATAATGTGGGCTAAAAATAATACTGTATTCTATTCAGTGTTTCTAGAAATTAACAACTATAAACATAGACACTCAAATATGTTCCTACCTTAAAAAAAGACGGAAGCACAGCTACAGTATAGAATCACTGTCATCTGACATTTCTGACATTCTAGTTGTCATCTCAAATGTAAATAGTCTGCATTTTTTTTTTTTTTTTTTTTTTGCTTTTAGCATTCTAAAGATATTTGTACATGGTTGTTTGATTGTATTGTAAAAGACCTAAGTATAAATTGGGTCAACCAATAAACCGCAGGGCTACTGCCTGACAATTTAAATTAGCTCCTTTCACACTCCTTAGGATCTGCCTATCAGAGGGTTATCTGAGTTCCATAGACAACAGTAACCTAAGCCAATACCTTGGTCACAGTAATTATCTGTTTTTATTTATTTTCCTCTTGTCCAATTTATTTCAGGCCTGGTCTTATTTTTCCATTACAAGAGCCTGTGCACCCATGTGCAATTACCTGGTTTCTCTCTAGCACTTGAAACTAGCTCTTGTTGCCAGTTCAGGTAAACAGAAAACTCAAACTAAGCCTGCTCAGTAGATGTAATCAACTCAGTAGAACTAGTAGTTTCATGTAGGAACCACAAATGGAGATTTTTTTTGATACACTGAGTTTTTAGGTGAGAAGACTGGTATTAAATAAATTCTGTTTGAACAAATAGGTGAATGACAATTGTAGTAGATATATGAATCAGTCAAATAATTTTTAGCATAATTGCAATTATGAATTTTGAGAGTTAGCCTTAAATTTAAAATTACTAATTGTTAAAGTTTTATATTCCTGAGTCAAGTAAATTAAGTAGTTGAATTTTTGGGGGGATAATTTTGTGCATTTTTCTGAAAAGGAAAAGAGTTTGTTTTATAGTCATTATTACTCTATTTTACAAAAACAATAATGTGTCAATGTGTTACTACAATAATTAGTCACACATCCCAGGAACTTAAAATGAGTGTCAAGAAAAGTCAGATAAGTAGTGACTATCTGTTAAGAAAGATTTAAGTGACATTAAAGGAAAAGCCTTCTTCTCCAAAGTAATCACGAAGTGAGGACTCTGCAAAATTGAGTTCCCCAATGACTGGACTATAGTTGAGCACTTCAATGTAAAGTTTCAGCTAGAGTGATCTGAAATAGTGGTGCTGTTAAGGACATAACAGCTAAGTCAATTTAAAAAGAACTTTAAATGACTGCTTCACTAGATAGCAAGGTATAAAGAATGCTGCCAATGTACATCACTTGGGTAATTAGCAAACTGTATCTCTTTTGAGACAGCAATTTAACTTTCCTCATTTTGTGCCTTTAACTTAGCCACAGGATGTTATACCATCAGTAATCAAAAAATGTATGCAAGTATATAGCTCTCTACCAGGTCTGAAGACATGTTATTTGCTTGGTCAGCGGCCTTAATAAAGACAGCTGCTATCAGTTTTTCATAAAATAAAACCCAATGTGGTCTTCTAAATTCACTCTAATGATCAGTTAGTTTCAGATAGATGATATGGATGGATGAATGGATAGATGGATAAATAGATAGACAGATAGATAGATAGATAGATAGATAGATAGATAGATAGATAGATAGATAGATAGATAACATACACATGAAATACACTAGAATCAGGAGTAAGAGAAATTCAGTACTGAAGGGTAAAAATGGAGCTTGACTGAGTAATCTTGGACATTTTGAGGCTACAACACAATAACTTCTACCCAATGGTTTACTCTATTTTCTATGCTGTGGTTTAATAATGACATTTTTGAACTGAATTTATTTTATTTAAAACTCTTTCTTGAATGTATTACAAGACTTCTTTAGACTATGTATAAAGTAGAAGTTACTCTTCAGAGGAACTTTTTTTTTTACAGCACTGTTATATAAACACAAAACTATTTGACTAAAGAGTGCATCTATAACTGGAATTATAGAGGGGATACAATTTAGTTAATGTGGAAATAATTGTCTTATTACCATGGTTCTCTACATGCTACACATTGGATGATGATTATTTTATGAGTAAGTCAATTCTGTATGGATGTAAAGATTCATTTGAAAGTAAGTGGAGTAATTTGAACGTAACTGCAATTATTTTTGCACCAACCTAATAACAAGAGTATTATGTTCTTATTCTTTCACTCACTCTCTCTCTTTCTCTCACACACACGCACAGACACACACACACATCCTTTTTCTTTCAAGAGTTTCTCTATCTAACGTACAGTAATCCTTCCGTAATATTGTTTTCAGAGTTCTTGCCAATAGTCTGTCTTTATAGACCAAAACATTTGTAAGAGAGTCTTTCAGAAATGTAAACTAATAATTCTGTCTTATACCAAAGTTGATGTGATAGCAAATAGAGTTAAAAGAGTTCCCTGCCATGCTTCTGTTTTGTATTTTATTGTCCTCTAATTTATATGCATGTTGAGTATTTGCAAATACTTCTATCTAAGAAGACACCATAAAAATTTTTTTAAATTATTATGCAAATTCAATAAAAGAGAATGGGTATCACCAGAAAAATTTGTTTATTTGAACTGTATTTTTACAATTTTAGTCTTAAGGAAAGTTAACATTTTAAGCATTCCACAAACACAGAGACACACACACACACACACACACAATGAGTTAGAGATTGCAGTTTTATTAGAATTTTTGATCTTGTAGGAAAAGAATAACTAAGCACTTTCATTTCTTCAAAGTTTTCAAAATTATTCAGGAGGATTTGTCTTCATCTATTCCTTTCTACAATGATCCTAAAGAATTTCTTATTCATATATTCAGTTTGATTATGGATTTATTTGCTAACCTGATAGGTAGTGTTATCATGGTTTTGTTTTCATAAATGTAATCGATGTCTTAGCTTATTTTACAAAAAGATATATTTCAAATTGAATAAAATAATTTTTATTACAAACATTGACCCATTATATTGAATTTCTATAATAAGTCTCCAATAAAAAAGTCTTTAATTTTTTTAAATTGGTTCTATAAATTTGTTGAGATTGGAAATTATATACCTGAATATAATCAATTTATATCTAATAGGACTCTAAATATTTTCCACATAATATAAAATAGTCCATAAGATGGAGTATTTTATGAAACACTTTCTACATTTTCATTTATACTAAATGCAAAAATATATTAGAGAATAGATGTTTATTTTACAAGTTATAATAAACACACTATAAAAGCTATTAGGTCAGTTAAATGAGTGAATATGTTTAAGATATTGCTAAGTAATATGTTTGACTCTCCCTTCTACAACTTTCATAGGTAAAACAGTTACTCAGATCTTAATGCCACAATATTTTTTCTATCTGTCTTCTTTTTTTCAATTGCCTTTGCCATTCTGTCAGTTCAGATCCTTAAATTCTCTCCCCTGCCTCCATTTTCTCTCCCGCTCATTTTCAGATTCACCTCATTTTCCACTCATTTTCAGACTTACTACAAAGCAGAGCTTTGAGCATTCCAGAAATATATGTCTGAACTTTTCAAAAACCTTCAATTATTCTACACCATTTGCTAATTGAGTAGCTCCCCTCAGTTTGGCATTTAAAGTAGTCCTAACTGTGTCTTCAAGTCATCTCTGGCACAGTAATTCTTTCTTAATCATTGATCATCATTGATAAAAATGTACATAGTCATATACATGCAGAGTTCTATATAGTTTTATGGAGTTTACCAAATCTTTCTCTACAAGTCTTAGAGAAATACCCGCCTGCTCTACACATTTCCATCCTGCTACTCTGCCATACATGCCTAACATTTCAACCACGTTCGATGACAAGCAACTTGAGGACAGACATGATGTTTTCTGCAAAATGCACATTTACATAAGCCCCATGATACTATCCAAATGTCTCCACTGAGTAACTTGGCCCCTGGAATGTCTTTCCTCAGGTTTTCAGAATGTTTGCATTCCCTTTATCTGTCCCTGTTACCTGTTACCTGGATAAGTTGGGAGGCATTTGGAGAAGATAAATGTCATTTTTCAGATTTCAGTCACTGCTATTCTTGCTAAAGTAAATTCTTTTATTATGGTGGGAAATAATCTTTACCAATGAACTTGGACTGTCCTTACCTTGATTAATATAGGCTTCATTTGTATTTAAATTTGATGTCTATTTGGTTCATGTCAGCTCAAAAGGTGTTTTTCAAATTTATATTTTTCAGGTTTCTTGAGTACAGGGGATCAGGCTGCAAAGGGGAACTATGGACTCCTTGATCTCATACAAGCTTTAAGATGGACTAGTGAAAACATTGGATTCTTTGGTGGTGACCCCTTAAGAATCACTGTTTTTGGATCTGGTGCTGGGGGTTCATGTGTCAATCTGCTGACTTTATCCCATTATTCTGAAGGTAACCGTTGGAGCAATTCAACCAAAGGTATTATGCAGGTTGCAAATTTTGACAATTTTGGTGTCTGCATGCCACCACCATCAATAGTATGTGATGCTCTGTATATTTCTCTGTTCAAACTGAGTGTTAGGTTGAACTCAATATCTGTTTAAAGCTTTGTTTCTTCAGCTTTTCTGTGCATGTTTAAATTTTCGTCAAACTCTTTTCTTTGTCTCCTGTGGAGCTTGGTAAGGATGCCCTTTCAAGCACACTTCAGAATAGTTAGCATTACAGTTACTCTTCTTTCCTTTAAAGGGTGATTTGAGGAAAAAATCAGACAAAGACATTCTACAGTTCTGTCATCTTTGTTTATTCAGTGATCAAAATCAAAGATGAGACTTTTTAAATGCAGGGATTGTATATCATCTATTTTCAAGACAATAGACATTTTAAACCCTTTATTAGTATGAAGCTAACGAAGCAGTCGTAAGCTAGTTTGTCTGAAAACATGTGATTTCGCTTGTTGTCTGAGTACAGAATGGACTGTTGATTATTTTGCATGCATGATCCAAAATTGTCAAAGCATCAAGGTCACTGGTAGAGCTTTTGATTAAAAAGAAAAATACATTTGATTCAGTGTTTTTTCTATTTTTAACTCCAAAAGCATTATTTTCCTCCCTAAACTTGGCAAGGCAGCATGGAGTACTGAGGCTGCTGAAATCCATGAAATATTTTTCTCATTTCCATCTTCTGGCTTTGACATATTTTTTCCAAAGTGCCTGTCCAAGGCTTACCATGTTGTTCTTTATGAATTCCATCTCCATTTTACCATGCATAGAATCACCCATTCCCACTGCATTATTAATTTGAAATTTCACAAGAACAGAAGAGTATTGCTGGAGAAATTTGCAAAGCAAATACTTTTTCTGCATTATTTATGTATAATAGAGAGGAAGACAGAGAATATATAAAAATGCAGACCATCTTTCAATTTCTGATCTTTTATTGTCATTTTATATCCAAGAAGAAAGTATATACTGTCAAATATAATTCATGAAGCATCTTAATTTGTAAGGTTGAGTTTTGTGATAGGAACACCAGACATATGACATTTGTTTTTGGTATCAAAAACACGTGAGTGTTGAATTTCAAAAGAATAGCCAGTCCTTAAATGAATCTGTATATTTGGAGAATCATATATAGACTCAATTTATTAACACAGTTTATATAAGATTTCATTTATATTAGTACAATTCTGATTCAAGATGACAAAATAACACAGATGAACATTTCCAAGAGAGATTTCATCTGTAAAGAAATGGCTTCTTTTGAAATAATAAATTTAGTGGTTTTTAATTAAACAGATTAGATTGTTCTAACCTCAGTATTTTTCCTAATGCCACTATGTAGCTAGAGCAACACTAAGCCACCTATATACAGATTAGATTGTTCTAATCTCAGTATTTTTCCTAATGCCACTATGTGACTAAAGCAACACTAAGCCACCTATATAGGTTTCTCGGGGCCACTTGATCAAAATTTGACATGAAAGCCACCTTTAGCTAATATAAAACTAGCACGGTTTAAGAGATGAGTCAGTTAGTTCATCAGCTAACACTGCTAGTCATCAGCTGATGGTGTAGTAAACAGTGGGAAATGGTTATGCAAACTGTTGAAAATACAACATTTTATTATACACTTCAGGGAAATCTGTCTATCTCTGGAAAAAGACATGAACTTAGGTTTGGCCTAAACCTATCTCCAGACTGAGCTGCCTGATTTTATCAGGAGATGCTCAAAAAAAATCTCTTGAAATCATCAAGCTGATTCTGCCTCCAATGTAGATGTAAACTTTAAAGGCAATAAACCCCACAAAGGGCTGCACCAATGCTCAGGCCTGGATATACCATGAGTAAACCCCATCTTGCATCCACACAAGAGGCACTTTCACTAATGATAAAACATATGGTGTTCCCAATACCATCTAGTTGGTATATTTTAGGATATATTGAACATGATGTGCCTTTCCTTCTAAATCTCTTTCAGTATATTTAGTTAATGTTGAGTCCCTGAAATGGGAAATAATATTATAGAAATCACCAGATCTATTTCAGTTATATAATTTTTATTTATTAAAATATTTTCCTGAGCAACTGTTAATAAACAGCTACATAATTTTTAAAATTATCTGCATTTGTATCATTTGCTCTAGCATACTTTGTTCTAGTAAACTAAAAAATGTTTATAAAGATGTCAGAAAACCAAAATAAATGTATATTAATACTGTTAGATTTTAAAAATAGCTTTAGAATTGTATGGGAACATGTTACAGACATGTTGAATGTATAGGCATATTAGGTTAAAAATATCTAAAACTCTCCTTCTAATTCAGACAGTGCTTCAACACCTTTGTGAAAAGAGTTTTTATCTCATTAACACATATGAATAATTAAGCATGTTTTTAAATAACTGAAGCACAAAGCTGTATTTGGAAATTGATAATAAATTTAAATATTTAAAAGCAAATAGATAAACTATATTTTTAAAAAAGGAATTTTATCAGAAAAATACCTTAATGAGAAGATAAAGTGCGTTTGTAAATTTTAATGACATGCAGCACTTAACAAACTGCATATGGAACCATCATTTACAATTCTTAAATGCAATTAAGTAAAAAGCAGTGGACCATGTGCTTTTCATCTTTTATGATAAAAGTAGTAGTGTACATTCAACAGTGGCAAAAGTTAAATCACACCACACTAAATCTGTCTGCTGATGGTTTTTTTCTTTAGCCTAGTGAAAACACTTCAAATGTTATGTCTTCTTCTGAAAGATGAATATTCAGCATACTATGTCTGACATGAAGATTGGAAAGAGTACGTCTAAAGTAATATTCTGTTTTGTGTGAATTCAGGGCCAACCCCAGGGTATAAACAAACAGCCAGCCCCAGTCATTGTGTGAGCCTTCAAGAATTCTTTTTCAAATAACATCTGGTTAAAACAAATATATAGAACTATTTTGAAGGAAGATAGACACAGCCAAGCTAGAGGAAATATTCCAAACAGACAGTGTAGAGTCTGTTGAGGACTTGAATAGGAGAAGATTGGCCCCATCTGGTTAATGTTGATGATAAGTATTTACGCACTCATTGAAGAACCTATTTGGGACTTTGTACCACTACATCTTCTCCTTTTCTTCTTGCCTGCTACCTCTTTGAGGCTTCTTGATCCCTAAAGCAGGTGCCACTCAAAGCAGAAGAATTAGATCCACCTCTCTAATCCACTATACCCTGCAGTTGGCTTTGTGTAATTCCCTTAAGCAAAAATGTCTCTATCTCCCTGTTTCTTGAGTTGTATCTGGGTTTTTATATACATGTCTAAAATATCAGATGTTACTGTTTTACCACAACATTACTCAAAGAGCATCTAAAATTCTTTGTTGATTTTCCCATAGGACTTTTTCAACGAGCAATAGCTCAAAGTGGAACAGCCCTTTCCAGCTGGGCTGTTAGTTTTCAACCTGCAAAATACGCTAGAATGTTGGCCACAAAAGTTGGTTGCAATGTTTCAGATACAGTAGAGTTAGTGGAATGCCTACAGAAGAAGCCTTACAAAGAACTTGTTGACCAAGATATTCAACCAGCTCGATACCACATAGCCTTTGGACCTGTGATTGATGGTGATGTAATACCAGATGACCCTCAGATATTGATGGAGCAAGGAGAGTTTCTCAACTACGATATAATGTTAGGAGTGAACCAAGGGGAAGGGTTAAAATTTGTTGAAAATATAGTAGATAGCGATGACGGTATATCAGCTAGTGATTTTGACTTCGCTGTTTCAAATTTTGTTGATAATTTATACGGATATCCTGAAGGCAAAGATGTTTTGAGAGAAACCATTAAGTTCATGTATACTGACTGGGCTGACCGTCATAACCCTGAAACCAGAAGAAAGACATTATTGGCTTTGTTTACGGACCATCAGTGGGTGGCACCAGCTGTAGCCACAGCAGATCTTCACTCAAACTTTGGTTCACCTACGTACTTCTATGCCTTTTACCATCATTGCCAAACAGATCAGGTTCCAGCTTGGGCTGATGCAGCCCACGGAGACGAGGTTCCCTATGTCCTGGGAATCCCCATGATTGGTCCTACAGAGTTATTTCCTTGCAATTTCTCCAAAAATGATGTGATGCTGAGTGCAGTTGTAATGACATACTGGACAAATTTTGCTAAAACTGGGTATGTACCTAAGGAATGAAGTTTATTTTTAATAAAAATATTATTTTAACCATTTTAAAATAATAGATATTTATGCCCGGATAATCTCATATTGGATTAATACCTGCAATATATTACAATCCTTTATTCAAAATTAATTCTACATTATGGTGTTTTTAAAAGTCATTGCTTTATTATTTCTGGTGTTTTAGAAGCTTGTTAAGAAAGTACATATCTCAATTGCGTTACTTAATTACATATGCTTTTGGTTTTTGAATTATACAAGACTTACTATTGTTCAGCAGTACAAAATATTATTTTATAGTGCTTTGTAATTCACAACACTCTTTCATCCTTCCAACTACCTTTCTGAATCTGGCAGATCAGGTACTATTAATCCCACTTTACGAAAAAGAGACCTGAGGTTCTGGGAGTGTCATAGAGATGGTCACATGTCTGGTATATAGCAGAACCTAGTCTCAACCCTTTATCTACTAATTTAAAATCAAAACTCCTTTCCACTATTCCGTATCATCTCTGCTAGTTTGCCTATGAGACAACTCATACGTATGTGAGTATTTAAATAATTCTTTAAAATCTTTGGGTAGATAGTAGCCCATCTCAGGATAGGCAGAGAGAATAAGAATGTGAGACTTATTGCCTTACATTATTACTCATCGAACAATCTGCCTGCTAGGAGATTTATATTTCTAAATTGACCCAAGTTAATTCAAAAAACAATCTAAAGCATTGCTGAGTCATCTCTTTAATTATTATATGTTAAAGTAGTATGATTTTAAGTAAAAAACAAAATAACTTTATCTTTTCCTTTTTAGTGACCCAAATCAACCAGTCCCTCAAGACACGAAATTCATTCATACCAAACCCAACCGTTTTGAAGAAGTAGCATGGACCAGATATTCCCAGAAAGACCAACTTTATCTCCATATTGGATTAAAACCAAGAGTTAAAGAACATTACAGAGCCAATAAGGTGAACCTCTGGTTGGAGTTGGTACCTCATCTGCATAATCTCAATGACATTTCTCAGTATACCTCTACAACAACTAAAGTGCCATCAACTGACATCACTTTCAGACCTACGAGAAAAAATTCTGTACCTGTCACGTCAGCCTTTCCCACTGCCAAGCAGGATGATCCCAAACAACAACCAAGTCCATTTTCAGTGGATCAAAGGGACTACTCAACAGAGCTGAGTGTCACTATTGCAGTTGGAGCATCACTGCTGTTTCTGAACATCTTGGCCTTTGCAGCCCTGTACTACAAAAAGGATAAGAGGAGACATGATGTTCACAGGAGATGCAGCCCTCAGCGCACTACTACCAATGATCTAACCCATGCACAAGAAGAAGAAATCATGTCCCTCCAAATGAAGCACACTGATTTGGATCATGAATGTGAGTCCATCCATCCACATGAGGTGGTTCTTCGGACCGCCTGTCCCCCAGATTACACACTAGCTATGAGGAGGTCACCTGATGATGTTCCCTTAATGACACCCAACACCATTACAATGATTCCCAACACCATACCAGGGATTCAGCCCTTACACACATTCAACACATTTACTGGAGGACAGAACAATACTCTGCCCCATCCCCATCCCCACCCCCATTCACATTCAACAACCAGGGTATAGCCAGATAACAGAAACAAACTATTTTTTTGGTGGATTGCAGTAAACGATTACTGAAGATTCCTTGGCTTTCAACCTACAAGACTTACTATTTAAATAAGGAGGAATGTTATGTGAATATACATATCAAGAATTTTGGGGGTTTTGAAAAAAATGAATTGTGTATATACAAATCAACTTTAAAAACAAATTTCAATTGCTTGAAGCAATTGTGCCGAATGATACTTTTTCATTCACATTCAAGAATTAATTTTTTGAAGATTTAAGTTACATAATGGAATTAGGCATGTGGAACACAAAACAGGAAAGAACTATGTCTGAAATATAAAAAATAAAAATAAAAAAACTATGAATATGCACAAGGGACACACCAATGGAATGTCAGATAATTTTCACCAGTTTTTATTTGGAGCCGTTTTATTGTGTAGACCATATTTACATATTTGGATAAGTACACAAAGCGTCAATGCTGTTAATGGCCTTAGCAAAGGCTCATGCTGAAATTTGCCAGTAAAACAAAGAAGTTTAAAGACTGGCAGGTACAACATTATCACATAAGTGCTGTCAGTATAAAGTTGTGGGGATAAAGGAAACTGGATATTTTTAGCACGATGTGCATGATAATTTATATGCTTGGTGGCTGTGCTGCTGATTAAGCCGTAATTAAAATTCTTCTCATCCCATTGGAGTTTTTAATAGAAGCTTCCTCCATCAATTGGCAGAACCTAAAGATTTTAAGGGGCAAAAGTAATTACAATAAAATAATTCACAGTAGTTTCAATATAGAAGGAATTAGTTATTAAAGGTATTTGAAGAAACTATAGGTATAGTGGTGAATACTCGCTGATATGAATCCCAGAAAAAAAATTCCCTGTTTTCAATGTTCTTTTCATTCTCATCTAGATAATTTATAGAACTATAACCCTAATTGGACATGTGGTACAGGATCTATAAGTTGCTGTGTTTTTTTTGTTACTCTGTATTTTGTTCCTTTTGGTAAGGTGAAGTGTGTCCAAAGAGTTACTTGCAACAGTCTTTCATGATATGAGGATGTCCCAGTATTAACACTCTGATTATAGTTCTGAGTTCATTGATTTACTTATGCTGCATGACAAAACGTTTACTAATAACAATTCATTATAAAGTTATGTCCCTCTTTACATCACTTATCTTTCTCACTGAGGTTCATTCACTGGAATTTACTCACGCAATCTCAGTAGAGTGCAACGTAGATACAGAACCTAGGAGAGTCAACACCTGGAGGATTTTAGTCTTACACATACGTGTGATTTTAAATGAATATTCTCAGACCACAGGAAACTCTTCATCCCCCTGTTGTTTACCAGTAACAGTATATCACAGACCTTTCCAAATGTTTGTATATGTAATCAGATGTACATTTATATTTAAAAAAAAAAAATGAGATGGACTTAAAGAGCACATCCTGATAAATACTTTCTCTCTTACCTGTACTATATTTCTATTAGACTAAAGTTATGTGATTTTTTTTTTACATTTTTTCAGATGACTAGCAATTTTGATAGTTTATAAGATAATGCAAAGAACTTTCTCTGACAAACTAACTGCAGTAACAGAAACCTTTCTTTTCAGTTACTCTTTTTCAAGAATGAAAGATTATTATACAAAAAAATTGTATACTACTTGATGGAACCAACTTTGTACATCTTGGCCATGTCACTGGTCATTGTGTGAAATAAAGATAATCTGGATAATGACTATTAGTCCAATGCTAAGAAACATGATCTTTGCTCATTAAAGAGCTAAAATGTTTATTGCTGTTTTGTCTTTCTTTTTTCTAAAAAAAAAAAAAAAGAAAAGAAAAGAAAAAGAAAAAAAGGAAAAGAAAAACAAAGAAACATGACTGTCTCAAAGAGTAATTTTTCTAGATTAGACCAGTCGGGTTTTTGAAGACACATAGGTAACTTCCATAGAAAACACAAACGTGTATTTAAAGGCAAGTCTCATCTAAGATGAAACTCATAAAACTTTAATGTTATGAATTTAAAAGCTCCAGAAATTCATGAAAAAAAGAAAGATTAGCTTTGTGTTGTTAAATATCTCTTAGGTACAGATGTTGTAGAAATAAAGTGTCAATTGTTTTCAGTTAGAAACATAAGTTCCACTTCTGGTCATCAAGGAAAAGGTCTATTGAAAAGAAATGTGCAATATTTCATGGAGTACAAATAACTAGGATCATAAAATGGGGGTGATTAAACTACCATAAAGTAATGAATAGAAAGTTGCCATGCTAAGAGAATGTAAACGTGCTGAGCAAGATATTAAACTGACACTAAAAGATAAAAATCTATTTCAAGGAATTTATTTGATTATAATCCCCCTCCCAATTGTTATCTATCAATGAAATGTATGTATTCCTCCATAATTAAAAAAAAAAAAAAAACTCTGTTAGAAGCAAAAGTCTTCAAAATCCAGAGTGATCTACATGCAGTTTTTGACTGAGGTGGTTATGCTTTTAAACTGTGAACTGCCAGTGTACACAAATAGAAATAATTGTTTAGCATCTGAAGTATTGTTCAATTGGAACACTGTATTTTACTGTATTAATTAAACAAAACACTAGAACAGAATAGAAATGACAGCAAAATAAGATATGAATGAATACTTTTGTATGCATTGCTTCATTTGGCAAAACCAAACATTCTATTAAATATTGTGTTTTAACGATGGCCATATTTATAGCTATCTACCAATCTATTGCTCTGCATTTATCAATCTACCTATATATAGCATAACTGTCATCCTCTTTATATTAATTTAGGAAAATGATTTCGGAAAACAAAATATAGCCCTATTATTTTCTCTAAATTAGGGTAGAATAACTTTATGGAAGATAAAGCAGCCTAGGTTTAATAGCTGTTCACCAGTCACGTGATAAAGTCATTGTGAATGAGTGTTAGTTGCTACTTTTATAATTTCCAGTCTCTAGTTTTCTGAATAAAAAAGGATGTTCCACAATTACACAGAACATTAAGAACTGTTTTTAAAGCTGAAACATAATTTTTACATGCAAGAAAAATAAATACTGTTACTAAATTTTAGAAAGTATGTTGAAAATGTGTTTATTTAGATAATAATTTTCTTTGAAAAACAATGTAAGTAAAAAATTAAAATAATATTTTTGTCATTATTTGTTAATTCAGATTCTCCTGGCTCCGATTAAAAATTAGGCAAAGCTGCTTATAATTTATATAAAAATTACACTAAAGTGAACTTTATTTCATTGTTTTGCTGTTATATAAAATTTTTGCCAAATGTTTACCAACAGATTAATGTTTTAGAGTAGGGTGTAGAAAAATAAAAGTGACAGATTTCATAGTTTTAAATCTTTATTGAACATGTTGACTATGAACAGAATCTAATTGGCTACCACAGATATATAACAAAGTTTATTACTAACTTTATGCAAATTGGAAAATAATTTGCTAAAGCATTAAAAATATCCAATTTGGAGACATCTTGCTGGCAACTCAAAGCAGAAAATCTGAATATATATTATTTTATTCCTTATTTCAGATATAAAAGTTGACTAAAATGATGCTTTATTTCAGACTTCCTGATCTGTACATGAAAACAGCAACAACATTTTAAAAAAATTATCAACTATATGTAGCACTAAAAAGGAAAACAGATGACACTAATTTTCTTACAGAAGTGAAGTGCTGAAACTAAATTGTTATATCTATAACAACAGTTTTTTCACCTCTTGGCACACTCATCCTGACACACATATTAATATCAAAAAAGGATACAAAGAATGTGAGAAATGTGTTCCAGCTTTAAAGACACTACCAAATAGAAGTTACTGGGATTCTTTTCTTTGGCGAGTTTCACTGAAATACTTTCAAAGGGTGAAATGATGAACTGAATTCTTAAGAAGCTATCAAATATGGCAGCCTTTTGATGTTAGTAATTTTGTTTTCTTCTGTGTTATTGGTTCAAAGTACTGGCCTTTTCCTTCATTTCCAGTAATTAGTTGGTATAGACTATCACTTTTTAATGTGAATGGGAATTAGATAATTTAGTTATACTTGTGAAAACATGCTTCCAAACACATTCAATTAATGGGCACTTCCCTGCTGAGATTTTGTTATCATTCATTTAATTATCTTGTCAAGCTTTCCTGTTACGACAAATGTTTTAGCTTTCTGGTCAATAAACTAAGGGAATTTCTCCAGTAGCCTTATACCTCTCCTGCACTTGATCTGATAGCAACATACCCTTCAAATTGCCATCAGAAGTCTCTAAAGAAATTTCCTACTGATGTGAAACATTTGGTGACCAACTTGATTCTTTTTCATAAGCATTCTGATTTGACTTTATTCTGGCACTTTGCTGTATTTGTATGCAGGCCAGAAATCAATTCCATTTGATAAGGGTTGTAGAGAATACAGACAGGAATAACCACGTGCAGGGCTTAAGTGCCTTTTCCTCCTGAGATTTTATTTATAAAACTTAGCTTTTTTTAAAATTTTCAGATTCTGATAATTCAATTTAAAGAGTACAATAGGAAGACTATATTATAAATTACCAATAAGACAAGTTTATTTAGACATTTTTACATTTAATTTGATTTTTAAAATAATATCAGATGGATCTAAATGGCTTCTGGGAAAGATTGAGGTAAATTTTTGAAAGTGACAATTATATAGGCATCTGGCTTGATGGTACTTAAGAATAAAAATTTAAATCTCTAACAAACTTTAAAAATGTTCCAAATATTAAGTTTAATTTAAAAGAAGTCTGAAGCTATTAGAGATAATCATATAGTAGATAGGTATATTTTTTTTTCTAGTCAGCTATTACATACACCACATAGTATATATACCCTATATACTATATGGTTTATATAACATTTATAGTGACCCTTTCAGACCCATATACTTACAAATGACATTGTATAACTACCTACATATATATTAATGTGACAGAATTTAGTCCTCTATGGAAAGTCAAACCAAATTGCTAGCAGTTTTGAGTTGAAATGAATGATAACAATTAAAGCTTTTAAGAAATTGGTAAGGGTACAGTAACAAAAACTCAGCAGATAAATGTAAATCAGAGGGACCATTTTTGAATGCCATTTTCAGAGTTGACATCTAAACTAGATGGTGTGTTTAAAAGGATTTTAGTGGTTTTGATTCATCCTTTCTCTGCATTCATATCATTTAGCAAATTAATGGGACATATGTCACGGTTTTTGTGAAAAAGACCATTGGGTTGTCATGATTCAGTTTGTGTTTGGACATCTATGGCTTTCGTTAAAAACATGTTTATTATCATGAATAAATATTACCATGTTTTCCAAGTTGTGTTGACTATTTTTAAACTCAGAAATAATTTCTTCTCTGTTTGCCTCACAGAAAAACATTACTAAGATAAGTGTTTTCTTACAAAAATCTTTGTATTGCTTACCCACTGCTGACAGTTCTCACTTGATAGAAACAATGATATTTTATTATCTTTTCACCTCTTGGTGAATGCAGGGCAAGAATTTAGAGAATAGATTTGGGAAGCTTGGACACAATTTTTCAGAAAAGAGAGAGGGAAAGTGGGAGAAGGAGAAAGAAAAGAATGGAAAAAAGGAGGAAGTGAGAGAGAAAAAAAGGAAGAAAAACTTCTCAATTTTGAATTAATGACTTTTTGCATCCAAACAGTGTTTTAAATAGAGATGTGTGACAGTTTTTTAAAAAGAAGAGAAAAGGAATTTAAATAAATCTCTTTAAATCATAAATCTATTATTCTTAGAGAACAAAATTAATAATATCTAGGAAGATATCATAAATTTAACTCTTGATCCAAGTCTTGATCAAATCGTGTCACTAGAAACAAATAAAAATAAAACCTATACTGAAATGTTTATGGTTCTATACTATCTAATCAGTAATGATCTTGGTAGGAAGACTGTGTGAAGTAAGATCATCTCTCATCTGTATATAGCCCAAGTTAAGAATACAGCAAAGAGGACATCATAGAATTTCCTCATACATAGCCTAAAGAAAAATGTTTCCAATGGCTAAATAAAAGAATTAGCATTGCTTTACAAGTCTCTGTGGCCACATATGGCCATGGGCACCAAATAAATTAAACAGTTAAAAAACATATTCTAACAATTTCACTTTCCATAGACAGGTTTTGATGTTTTGTAAAATTTGATGTTGTTTCATATGATTACATTTTCACTAGTTTTATATTTCCTTATGGTTTGCAGGATGTTATTTCTGAGTTCAAAAAAAGTTTCAAATATACTCTGTGAATGTTCATGTGAAAGCAATATTTTCTAATGGAATGCTCTAATTTGAAGTACTGTCTCAATTTTGGAGAGTTGATTGACTATCTAGTTAAAATATTTCTATCTCCCCTGAAAATACTCAACTTTGTTCTCAGAGCTGCCTTCCTCTGCACTACAGGAGATCTTCTTACCAGTTACTGTGGCTCCTATTTCCATGGCCTATCCTATTACTAGTTATGGCCTCTTCTCCAAGGAGGTAAAGTTGTGCTGAAAGTCTTAAAAGGGGATCTAACTAACTGGTGCCTTGGGAATTGGCTTCCTCTGTTCCTCAGGCAGGTTAGAAACTAGTGAACATCAATCAAGCAGTGAAAGAAATTAGTCATTTCTTCTTTCAACAAATGGCGTCTACTATGTGTCAGGCAACATAATGGGTATTAAACACGTGGCCAATTCTATGACTTACTAACATACAACTATTGTCAAGTTTGGAATAGGTTCAAACATTTGGACTGATTTAGACCACTTTCTATGCTATACTCTGTAGCAAATCATTGTACAATTCCTCGTTTTGTCTATTTTACATGTCTCAAAACAGTAAACACAAATCAACATTTCTTGAGTTCAAAAAAATGTTAGTTGAATTCTATTGAGCCAGTTCACCAGTTAAGGTATTTGGCAGCCATCTTTCCAAATAATAAATACAGCCCTATCTGAAGTCATGCTACAGTATGCCAATTCAAATTTCATGGAATATGAAATTTCCAGCATAAATCTCATCTGATCCAGCCCCATAAGTGGTTCCTTAACCCTTTGCCACAACCTCAACATGTAATTGTGAAGTCTGCCATTGAACACTGCCTTGGGTCTGAATTCTAAAACAGCTGGCTACATTTTGGACTATTTGAGATATCTTTTTATATTGATTTATTGCTCCATTGTTTTCTTTTTATGGTCATACAGTCTTCATCACCTGAATTGCTCTCAAATATTTAAAGATAGCTTTCATATCTTCCATGAGTTATTTTCTCCTCAAAGCAAAAAATCCCACTTGCAATACAAAATAGTGCAGTCTTTTCACAATTCTAATCACTGTTCTCCAAATTTGGTCCCAAGCCTAAGTTTCTTGGAAAGTTTAATGTCTAGGATTGACCATAATAAACACTTACGTATAGTTCATCACTGCCTAATAGAGTCCCACTATCAACTTCCTCATTACACAAACTATATTTATTTTAATTTAACTTGCAATACTATTACATTCTTTGTTGGCCATAGCATACTGATAATTCAGATTGAGATATACTTTCTACTAAAACTTAAAAAATTCTACATGCACTATTGTTAAGCAAATTCTGTCTTTCTACTGCCCTTGATCATTTGAGTTTTATTGTATGTTCAAGATATTAAACACTATTAAATTCTACCTCATTAGGTACAGCACTACAGCCTATGGAGACCTATCTATCCACCTCAGAGTAATGAAATCAACAAAGGTGATAAACTTCTATCTTCAACCAGTCATTAACAAAAAAATACCAGCAGAATCAGGTTGAGGATAAATCTCTGGAATAATAGTAATAGAGATAGTGTGTAAAGTACTGACAAAAGCAACAGGTGACAATTACTAAGCCCTTTTTTTTTTGGATTTTTAGTGAGACGGAGTCTCGCTCTGTAGCCCAGGCTGGAGTGCAGTGGCCGAATCTCAGCTCACTGCAAGCTCCGCCTCCCGGGTTCACGCCATTCTCCGGCCTCAGCCTCCCGAGTAGCTGGGACTACAGGCGCCCGCCACCTCGCCCGGCTATTTTTTGTATTTCTTAGTAGAGACGGGGTTTCACCGTGTTAGCCAGGATGGTCTCGATCTCCTGACCTCGTGATCCGCCCATCTCGGCCTCCCAAAGTGCTGGGATTACAGGCTTGAGCCACCGCGCCCGGCCTACTAAGCCCTTTTATGTTCCAGGTTCTGCATCGCACCCCACAACAAACTCCTACATACCACTCTCAAAATATCTTTAATACCTGTTGATGTGCTTATTCACTAATTCATTGTTTAAAAGATTATTATTGAGCATCTATTATGTATGTTACTGAGCTAGTTGTCAATGATAGAAAAGTGAATAAAATGTGTTCCCTGTTCTCACATTACTAGCAGTCAACTGATTACTCTTCCTCTCTTCTACACACACAGCACAAAATACGCTATCAGATACATTTGCAGGATATATTTTTTCCATGTGAAATATTTGCCTGACATCATAGTAATCTTTAGTAAGAAAACTTGGATAATTACTCTAAACTTTCCATTTGGGAACTTCTGGGTTCCTGGTGTGTTGTATTAAATGTTAGAAGATGTAGAAAAATCATTCTCACACCAATCACCTATCATAATTAAGATGTGGATTTAGGCCAGTCAAGTGTGGTCTTAAAGTGGGATTCCTTGTATGAAAAAGTAATACATACATAAGATAAAACAAAATATTTTAAAGTGAAAAGTAGACATCTCTCTTACTACAGATTCTAATCCCTTAGTCTTTTTCCCCAAAGACATTGACTATCACCAATTTGTATATAAATCTCTACAAATATGTCATTCATGTGTAAACGTGTAAAAGTGTATTTTCTGTGTATGTATGTGGGGGGCATTATATATATATATATATATTCATATATATACACACACACATATATTCACATATATATATATACACACACACACACGCATATTCTTTTTTAAAATTTATCTGGAAATGTTCCATGTGAGGACACTATATGTCAGCTCTAAGGACAAAACAGAAGAAAATAAAAATAGGTTTCAAATTTCTCCTTACATTCAAGGCTATTCTAATCAAAATTTCAACACTGTTTGTTTACACACTTTAGGTGAGTAAGGGTCAGGAATAGCCAAGATTATTTTGAATCGAACGAATAAGCAGTAAATATTTTGTCTACCATATTTCATTATTTACTATAAAACTATTGTAACCAAAGAGTGTTACATCAGTTCAGAGACAGACCAGTGTAGGATAACAGTGAACCCATAAACAGATCTATTAAGAAAGAGGAACATGGCATATAAAGGGAAATACAAATCAAGAGAAAGGAGAGATGCCTCAGCTAACAATGGCTATCCCTACCCATAGAGAAAACATCCCTATGTCATACTACACACAAAAATCAATCCCAGACAAATTAAAAATATAAACATAAAAGCACATTTTAAATGTTTCAGAATGCATAGGAAAACATTGTCATGTCCTTGAAGTAGGGAAGAATTTATTAACAAGACATAAAACAACATAAACAATAAAGAAAAAGAATAACAAGTTAAAATTAAAATGTCAAAACATCAGATAACAAGATTTTTAAAAAACTGATGAAAAGCACATATTGAAAGTAAGTATTTGCAACACATGTCAGCAATGAAAGATTAATTAATATGAGTGGATAGAAAATTCCTGTAGTTTAAATAAGCAAAGGACAAATTCACAAGGAAAATAGAGCTGATTAAATACTGGGAATAAAAGACATGTGTGTTTTTTTCCCTGTTGCTAATTTTCACAAAATGTAAGGAGAGGACTAAAAAATATATAAACTTATCAGAACAAAAAGGAATAGAAAAAGAGATAGCAGGTAAGAAATTCTAATAAGTTTTTGAGAGATAGAAATTAGATAAACTGAAAACATTAAGAATATAATACAACCTATGAAATAACAACACAAGTCAGAATTAGAAAAGTTAAGAGATGCTTTAATATAACTCAAGAAAGAATTATAAATAAAAGAAAAATAATTTTTAAAATCAAGACTAAATTAAAAGAAATGCAGACCAAAGAATGCTTTAAGAGACAGAAAAATATTCAAAAAGAAATAGGAATAAATAGTAAACAGTCAAAAAAATCTAAAAAGTTTCAAAAAGGAAGGAATGGAGGATGTGAGCTGAGAGGGAGAGGAAGGGAGAAATAAGAAAAAATCAAGCATAAGTGATATGAAGATAGAAAAAGGAGATTCAATATACATGTATATGAAACCTTCAAAAAAGAAAACCAAAACAAGGAGAACACAACAAATACAGTGAAAGC